CCGACTATGTTCTAATAACTACTTGTACTAGTTATCCACGTTCTGCTTCCCAGCTCCAATACAATCTTCAATATATGCTCGGTGGGTTCCCCTCAAGCACATCTCCTGTATAGATAGCATGGTGTTAAGATTTCTCTGTACAGTGGTGGGACGCTGCAGGAAGAAAGAACTCCTCTCGGTCCAGCTGCTGCACAGAAGGTGAGCAGCATGAACAGGAGGACATCTTGCGGTATACAGTGTGCAGCCACGTGTGCAGAACACAGTCCCCAGGGACTCCTCAACATTGTCATCACCCCCTGACAAGGCTTCTCAAACAGGACACTGACGTTCCTGGCCTCCCACCCCCAGAGCACCCCAACTTTCTCCCTACAAGTCATCTCCATGACTTTCTTGATGGAGACACCACATATCCCATGCTTCTTACCCACAGCCACACCTCAGTTCTATCTGTACACCACTGATGAGCTGCAGATCAACCATACCTGCTGCTTCCTACCTCCCTAACAACTGGGATCAGTTCTGGTCTAGGCAACTAGTGAATTTATCTTCCATCCAATGGCTGTAACAACTGATGTCTGAAGGGCATGTGGGGTAGGGGTTCTTCATCTATATTTATCCTGCCTACATATTCTCCTCTTTGCATTTTATAGGTATTCTGTTTTTATAGATTAATATAATTCCTTATTTAAAACAAAACAAAACAAAACAAAAACTTCTCACTAGCCATGGCCACACATGCCTGTAACTCCAGCTACTTAAGAGGCTGAGGCAAGAAGATTACAAATTTGAGGTCTGCCTGGGCAACTTAGTAAGATTCGGTCTCAAAATTAAAGAATAAAAAAGGCTAGGCATGTGGCTCAGGGGTGGAGTGCTTGACTAGCATGAACAAGGGTTCAATCCCCAACACCAAAAAAAAAAAAACAAAAAACAAAAAACAACCAAAACAGAGCTCTGTTTAAGTCACTCTGTGCTTTCTATCTCCCAATTAGACTCAGATAAAGACCACTGCCGCCCCAGCATCTAACACAACACAGAACAACATGGATTAGCTCTTCATGAATCCATTCCTTCTATCTTCAAACAGCTTTTGCCATGGTGCTTCCTGCATTTAAAAATTTAAAAATTTAGAAAATATAATGAAAATGGCTTCAGGACATTAGGTTAACTAAAGGAAAACAGAAACAAGATCTATATATTTGTGGCCCCAGAAATAAAAAGCTAGGATAAATGGATAAATTAGCACAGAAATTTGCTTTCACTTAATGAAGGACACTGTAACAGATGATTTCAGAAAAGGCGCAGCATCCTGTAATGAGGGGAAACTAGTCTAGATGCTCACCATAGTGCTTTCAACTTCTTAAAATGCTATGATTTTAGAAGTTACCAGATTTCAGAAGCTATCAGATGCTAAGAGAAGAGGCAATTGGGAAGTCATTCTGTTATTTTATGTGTGAAATGCAGAAGATTTAAATTTAAAATTTGACTTAATAAAAACAAATATCTTCATTACTAATTCTGGATAAAGGCATTTCTCTCAAATAAGAAGAATGCATTCACCACAGAGAGGTAGGTGAAAACTGGATTCAGAAATCCAATGACTCGTAAAAGCCATTAGCAATTATGTGTCCCTCAGGAGCACTCTGAATCCAACCAGGGTGGTTCCTTAAGGACAGAAAAATAACAGCCAGCAAAAGCTCCTTCATTTATGTTACCATATTACTATGATGATAAATGTTCTCATCGATGATAAAAATGGAACATGTGCAGTTTAGAAAAGAAGTTATTTTTGCCTAACCACGTACATAAGTACACAAGTTCGCATAAACAGTGGCTAAAACACTACAGTTTAATACCTGGAGAAAAAATACCTAAAGACTGAAAATATACTGGTTTAAGTTCACTTATTTCTTCATAAACACAGCTTATTCAATTCTGGCAGATTAGGAAGACATCTACAACCAGAGATGTGGTTACTTACTGTGTAAGTTTTAGAGCCAATGAAAAATTCCTTTAAAATTTTCTTTAGTATTTCCTTCATTAAAAATTATGTATTCCTGCTGGGCATGGTGAAGCACACCTATAATCCCAACATTCTGGGAGGCTGAGGCAGAAAGATTACAAGTGTGAGCCTAGACTGGGCAATTTAGCAAAAATAAAAAAAGGAGCAGGGGATGCAGCTCAGTGCAATAGCCCTAAGCTCAATCACTGGTATTAAATAAAATAAAATAAAATAAAGTATTTCTTTGTTTTAAAATGGAGAGATGGGAAAGGACACATAACATCAATACTAACTGAAAGAAATCTTTGACAATGAAGAAAAAGTTGGAGTACTATTACTACCTGATTTCAGAACTTACTGCTAAGATAATTATTAAGATGATTAAATGAATGGAATAGAATACAGATCCAGAAATCACAGCTTCCAGCTCAGCCTGGGAAAATCTGAGACCCAGTCTCAAAATAAAAAAAATAATAAAAGGTCTGAAGCTGTAACTCAGTAAAAGTCTCTGGGTTTAATCCTCAGTATCACCAGAAAAAAGTCATGTTGGATCATACACACCTAAACATAAAACCCAAACTGTTACATTTGTAGAAGAAAACAGAACATCTTTGTGAGTTTGAGTTAGGTAAAGATGTCTTAGGTTTGATGCCAAAAGAACAATCCATGAAATTTTTAAAATTTATAAATTGGACTTCATCAAAATTTAAAACTTTTACTCTCTCACAAACACTATTGAAAGAAAAAGACAGGGCAGACTTGGAGGAAATATTTACAAGTCACAAATGTGATAAAAGACTTACATCTAGAATTTATGAAGGTCTCAAAATTCAGTAATAGGATGTAGGTTTATTGAGAAATGGAATGGGGAGCTATGGGAAAGGAGAAACCCAAGGCACGAGGAAAATTTTTAAGGTAACAGAAGTATTCATCACATTGCCTGAGATAATGGTTTCTCAAGTGTATCAAAACTTACTACATTTTTCACATTAAAGATATCTGATTTTTGTATGCCAGGTATACCTCAATAAAGTTGTTAAAAAATAAATTACCTGCTTGTTTGAGATATATAAAAACCTTGGGGAATGTCCTTTCTTTCAACCAAGAAAAGACAAGATTAAACTCATGACCAGTATCTGCAAAAAAGTCACTTTTAATTGTGCATGGTATCAACGTAAAAATGTAAAAACAGCCACAACAAAAAAACTAAAACTCTTCCTTTTCACAACATGCAAATGAAAGGGATTTGCCCATTTACATCCTTCAAGTCAAGTTCTGATGCAACTTTTTCTCAAAGACTTTTCTCATCACTCACGAAGAAAGTAATTGTTCCCTCTTGTGAATCAACATACTATTTATGCTAATTTTCAGATACTAATTCAAAGCATTTATCCATTTGCCCACTGCACATTTATTAAGTGCCTCACATAGGCAGGGCCTAGTCTTGGCACTATAAACACAAAAGTAAATGGGAACAGAAAGCAACAGTAACACACCAGAATAACTCTTAAAATGAAATCCAAAACCTTTAACAGGAACACAGAAGAAATTTAGTTTGTCAGACACACTACCATGATTTGTTCATTATCCATTTTTCTACAGGCCTAAAACTCCAAGGACAAGGGTCCACTCTAGTAATCTTCTAGATTGCCCAGCACAGTACCTCACATGAGTATTTTATGCTTGCATATTTGTTTGAACAAATGAACATTCCATTTCATAAACATCTCTTCTTTCACCAGAAGGTGGGGCCACTAGGTTGCCTACTTCAAGTTCCAACACTTACTCCCTTTGTCAACAAAGGTATGGCAATAATGAATTTAGGAAAAGACAAAAGCAAAACTTAAATCCCAGGTCTCCAAACTCTCCAAGAATGGCCATTCTCCCAGTGAAGAAAACAGGAAGGACGTAGGGGTGAGACGGAACTTGGCCTGCAGAGATCAAGTTCAGAAGAATGATGGCCACGATTCAAGCTCCTGCTGTGTTTCCAAGGAAAGTCCTGGCTCTCTGTATGTTGCTGCTATGCCCAGAGGAATGCACACAAATGGCAGCCAACTAATCTCTACAACAGTGGTGGCAAACCTATGGCAAACATGCCATAGCAGCCTCCGTCTTATCGCTGAAAGTGCTAAAAGGTTCTCCATCGCTGCTCCAGAGTAATCACACCAGTCTCACTGTGAAAGAAATTTCTGGGTATGCCTGGGTTCCATCTGCTACAAAATACTATAAACTCTATGGGTCAGAAACACAGAAATTTATTTCTCACAGTTCCGGAGGTTGGGAAGTCTAAGAGCCAGGTGCCAGCAGATTCGTATCTGATGAAGGCCCACTTTTTGGTTCATAAATGGTGTGTTCTAGATGAATCCTCCATGGTGAAAGGGGCAAGCTAGGTCCCTGAGGCTTCTTTTATAATGGCTCCAACTCTAAACATGAGGGCTATGCCCTCATCCCCTAGTCAGCCCCCAAAGGGTCCCACCTCCTAATATCATCACATTGAGAGTTAAGATTTAAAATATGGATTTTGAAGCAACATAAACATTCAGACCTTAGCTCAGATTACATTCATGACTTTCTATTTTCCCAAGTGATCACAAGCCCTTTCTCCCTGCTCAGTTTCTGACAGGGCAGAAAGGTGGAAGAGATAACCACTTTGGGAAACCAAGCATAGGAAGAGGAAATAACACAATTATCTCATTTTCTCATGATCAACATATATGCAACTTTGCAATTTCAGTTCAGACAAAAGTAGCACAGACTGAAAATGTCTTGGATTAAACACCAAGGAGTAGTCCAATTCAATATCACCAGAAAAAACATTCCTCTTCACCTTAACAATAAGGCAGACCTACTTCTTGTACTTAGACCTACAGAAATAACAGGTCTCAGAAGGGAAAAGTAGAGGTTTACTTAAGACTGTCTGGACCCACCAGCTAGATGATGGCTGCAGGAGACAGGTGATCTTGGGCTAAGCGTCTTCCTGAGCAGTGGGCCGGACTCTTACCTGTAGATGGGGTCCTGCATCACCAGCATCTTGCTCTCATCCCATGTCCATTCCTTTTTCTGCAATAAAAGAAGCTATAAATGAATAAGTTAGGCTTGTCCTCAGCTACAGAACCAGGGCACACGTTGAGCTACTAATGCTTATGAACACACATGCATTTTGCTCCTGGCCTAATTTTTCCCTCTAAGAGAACCAAAGCTGATTGCTACAAAAGGACAAGTGGAAAATGTCATGTGTATGGTCTGATCTGTTTCCTTCAAGTACTTTAGGAGCGTCTCTCCAGGGCACAGGCACTAAGCAGGAGCCAAAGAGGTCTCAGGGGGCCACAAAGAAAACTAAATCAAGTATCTTAGAGAAATCACGAGAAAGAAAATATTATACATCACTTCAGAGCAGTGGGAAGAGATGAACAGAGAAAGGAAAAGGGAACAACTACAAGCCTCATGATGTGTTTGGGATGCTGTTAGATGCAAATGAAATATAATCCATCCTCTCTCCCTTAAAGGCACAAAAAAGCTCCATACAAATATAAGGGGTGATTGGAAGATAACGGTGAATGCTTAAATAAAAAAAAAAAACACAGCAAAGACACTTTATGCCAATAATGATGGGATAAATGTGTTCAAATTGAGGGGGTGTATTTTGACTATTCTGAAGAGGCTTAATGGCAATGTGTATTATACTGCAATAAAGTTAAACATTTACGCATATTTTATGATTAGCCCATTGATCAGATTTTTACAGCATTTTCTGTGAAATAAAAACATTAAAACATGTCCTCATGTACCTTATTCACCAGACCTGGCACCATGCAGCTTCTGGCTTTTCTTTAAAGTTAAAATGACCACATAATGTAAATATTTTGAAATAACTCAGGAAACTAAGGCAGCCACAACAATCCAACTAAAGACTCTAGTGAAATAGCAATTTCAGAACTGCTTCAGAAAGTGGCAAAAGCAATCAGATAAAGCAAGGGGAGAGGTGAGGGGGATTCATGGCAACATGTTTTTTTTTAAGTTAAATATTCACTTTTTTTTTTTTTCAAAAAATTGTGCTGTGTAAGTTAACTAGTGCATATGCGAAGGTACTCGTGAGAGGATATTCACTCTGGCTGTGATCCCAGCTTACTGTGTACACAAAAGGGACCCAGGCTTCAAGGCAGGTAGGGATGCAGATGGGAATGGGGCTGTGAAAATTCAAAGTGCAGTGCATGTTGAGGCAAGGGGCACTCAAGATTACAGGGATGCATTTGAGGGTTTGGGGAAGCGCCTGTGGTTAAGCAAGCATCATCCCCTCAGGCGTGACGCTTGGGTGCAAGGGCAGAGAATCCTGTTCCACCTTCATTGTCACAGAGACAGTGCTGTCCAGGGAAACTGCGGAGAGAGAAGACATTCATTTATGAAAGAAAGACTGAAGACAAAAGAGGAGAGTGAGGGGTATAGAGTGGTACCTCAGATTATGAACTTAATTTGTTTTATGATTTTGGGTAAAGACAGCTAAGTTTGTGTTTTTGTAGGGAAGGAAGATGGCTGTGGTCATGTTTGTCACCTGATGGAGAATTTGAGAGTGGAAGCAAAATTTTGCTGAATGCTTTTGTTTGTGAACTGAATTGTTTGCAAACAGAAGTGTTTATGAAACATGGCATTACTGTACATTGGATTAATGAGTGCTCTGAAAGCAGGTGGATTTCTCCAATGGAATGTACAGAGTGCTCTTAGCAGGTGAATTCTCAGATAAGAGTGGTGTGGCCACTCTCAAAACATATCAAGTTTTGGATACTGTCCCGGAGGCCAGAGAGGACTATGTCCAAGCCCTCGGGGAGACATTAAGAAGCATTTTGTCGAACTCCATCTAGTCACGATCAAAAAAAATCTACACCTAGACATATAATAATCAAGATCCCAGAAATCCAACAGAAAAACAAAATAACTACAAGCAGTAAGAGAAAAGAAACAAATCACATGCAAAGGAAAGCCCATTAGAATCACAGCAGACTTTTCAACACAAACCCTTAGGTCAAGGAGAGCCTGGACTGAGGTATTCCAAGTCCTAAAAGAAAATAACCTCCAACCTAGACTGATGTATCCTCCAAAACTCTTTTTCAAAATAGATGGGGAAATAAGATACTTCCATGACAAAGAACACCTGAGAAATTTCATGAACACCAAACCAGCACTGCAAGGAATTCTAAACAATATCCTACAAAAGGATAATGAAGGTCACAATACCATGAGGCCCAACAGACCAAATCAAATAGGCAAAGCAAGAAACTAAAAGGAGATAGGAGAAAAAGTGAAAAGAGTCAACAAAAGGACAATAACACCACAATAATAAGTCAGAATATATGTTATAACCATCAATGTTAATGGCCTCAATTCACCAATCAAGAGAAATACACTGGCAGAATGGATTAAGAAGCAAAATCCAACAATATGTTGTATACAAGAAACACACCTAGTGCAAAAGGAAGGCCATAGACTGAAAGTGAAAGGATGGAAAACAATTCTCCATGTGTCAGGAGCCCAGAAAAAAGCAGGGGTAGCAATCTTATTCTCAGATAAAGTAAATTTCAAACCAAAGCTCATTAAGAGAGACAAAGAAGGACACTACATCCTTGTAAAGGGAACAATTCAAGAGGAAGAGTTGACAATCATAAACATATATGCACCAAATATAAATGCCCCCAACTATATCAAACAAATATTAAGTAACATGAAAAACGAAATAAGCACTAATACAATTTTAGTGGGGGTTTTAAATACCCCACTATCACAAATTGACAGATCATCTAGGCAGAAAATCAACAATGAAATAATAGAACTGAACCACGCTTTGGAACACATGGACTTAATAGATGTTTACAGAATATTCCACCCTACAAAATCAGAATATACATTCTTTTCAGCTGCACATGGATCATTTTCCAAGATAGATCACATATTGGCTCACAGAACAGGTCTGAATAAATGCAAAAGAAGTGAAGTCATCCCCTGTATATTATCAGATCATAGTGTGC